CTGTCACTTCGACAATTACAAACTCGTGGTTTCATTGGCATGACAACGATAATCGTTTTCCATCAGATCAATCCAAATCTATAGGGGGATTTTTATAATGATCAAATTTTATTTTTCAATATTTCTCGATTTTCACAATGAATAGTACAATTTGATAGATGATTCTGAACATACATACTTAATACTGCAACAAACAAACTCAAACTCTCATATTCCCTCACCTATCATCTTATATTTTGCCATATTATAATATCTTTGTTTTTCCCGCACTAGTGCGGAAAAAACTTTGCCGCACTAGTGTGGGAAAAATGTTCCTGCAATGTTGCGGGAAAATTACACTTCCCAAACTAAATTGCGTGTGGGTATAGGGTGAATCACGCACGCTTGTAGAATAATATAATAGATAGATAGATAGATTATTTATTGATCACGTTACATACAATGTGTATATTTGTGACATGTCAACTAAAATAACGTTGGAAAAACTGAAATTAGATGAAATAGATTTTCATATGTATGAATGTGACCCTTAAAAATACAGATTAAAAGCAGAAGAAAAATACATGCATATATAAAATAGAATAATAAATCACAATCACCAAAAAGCTAAAATCTAAAATCATAGCTGTCACTCTAGCACTAGGTCAGAAAGAGGGGTTGACAGGTACTCCTCAACTGAATAGTAGCTGGTCTCAATCAACATCTTCTTCACTTTTCTTTGGAATTGCATAAGTGGTAATTGCCTGCAGTGTTCTGGTAATTTATTGAATATATTAACATTCACTGTATTCTTGGCAGACGTTGTCAATCTGAATCTAGGAGTTTGTATCATACTACAATTCCTAGTATTGTAAGAATGAACATCGCTGGAAGAGGTGAATTGTTGTAAGTTTTTTCGAATATAAGTGAGAGATTGAAAAATATAGAGTGTGGGCAAAGTCATGATTTTAAATTGTTCGAAGTAAGGTCTGCAGGATACCCTGGGCCCCACTCCGGCAATTATCCTGATTGCCCGTTTTTGATATACAAAAACTCTATTTGCATGGGATGAGTTCCCCCAGAGTGTTGTACCATAAGATATATGTGGATGAAAGAGGGAGAAATAAGATATTTTCAATATGTCGAAACTTAATGATTTATTTGATGTTCTCAACAGAAATAATTGGCTGGTCAATCTCTTACATAGAAGATTAATGTGAATTGTCCAATTTAGTCTGTCATCAAGATGTATTCCTACCAACTTGGCACATTCATTGTTTCTGATAAGTGTATTTGTGCTGAAGATAATGTTTTGATTCTTTGATAAATTCTGTTTGAGGTTATTTGGAATAAGCCATTCATCATAATTTCAGATATAATATCCACATCAGTTTTCCTTAATGTAATAGGATTCGAATTCGAATGGTAAAAAGTTGCATCATCTGCAAACATTATACAATTCACAATATTCATGTGAAAAAATAGGTCATTGACATAGATAATAAATAACACAGGTCCCAGTACTGAGCCCTGACCATACATTCCCGGTTTATCTGAAAAAATAAAACGTGTTGGTGATAAATTTCGAGTTAAAACTGTGTTCAAAACTGAAAATATAATAAGATAAATCGCAACTCAAACTAAACCAAAAAATTAAAAACAATCGTCGAGAATTTGTATTAACAGTATATCTTGTGTTTGTGGAAAGTATTTGACAGGTGAAATGAAGAGACCAGCTCTTTCAGTAAGAACGAAGGAACATGAATACGATATGAAGAAAGGACAGTTCGACATATCGAAACTAGCTGAACATATCCTCACTGAGGATGAACAACATGATATGGCAGAGTGAAATTATAATCAAATCATTGAAGGAGAAGATAACAACCAGAAGAGAAAAATCAAGGAATCTGCTTGCATTCTTCTGAACGGAGACTATAGCATTGCATCCTGTTCAGTTGATATGAATGAAACATGGTATTCACTACTGAAATCAGAAAATGAAAATGGTAAATTCGAGATTAATCAATGAAAACATTCTGTAAGTCATTTGATTGCCGACGTCACCAATTATTGTCACTGAGAACTGGAAGTGTGTCAGGACCAATATGAATTTGCCATACAAAGAATTCATTTTCTCTATATACCTTCATTTCTCTTCTCCCAACCTTTTTCAATAGAAATTGTCACTGATAAGCTAGTGAATTTTCAATTCAGGTTCTCTGATATGAAAAGTAAATTATGTAACAAGTGTCATAAACGTTCTTTAGTAACGAGTATTTTAAGCACGAGCGGAGCAGAGCGGAGCGAGTGTTTAATAAACGAGTGTCTAGAAGAGTTTATAAACGCGTTACATACTATGCTCTTCCTACGAACTCCGAAAATTACATAAACATACCTGCTATTCCTGCTAACCTAAAAAATAATTCGAAAGGAATGGGAATTGAGAACATAATACATGCAACTGCATACAACCAGCGAGACACTTATAAGTGACAGGGGTTGTAGATGTGTCCAGTCCATTGCTTACTAACCTTTGTTTCTCCATTCGCGTTTATTGTCATGCTTAGCGCAGAATAAGTCAGTTATTCTCAAAGATGGAAGCTTCATTTCTACACTTCTTGGAGATATGCAAGTACTAGAACATTCTCTTCGATTCCACTCTCGTCTACATTTCGCATATATTTTTCATGAAGAAATATGATACAAACGAATATTGTTCGAATAATTTTGATACAAAATTTCAAAATAACAGTTGACAGTTAATACAATTGACAGGCCAGACATGTCCCAAATTACTGAAGCTGTGTTTGATGAACTGTGTTGCCATGGTGATGTGTTTAAGAAAACGTGTTGCCATGATAATTTATTGAATATTCTGAATAAATCACAGATCGACAATCCGTGATTAATCGATCATTTAGCGTGGTACATATCCGTACGCTAAATGCCATTTTAGTTATGTGAGTAGAAAACATTCTTTAAACTCAGTGAAATTTTGGGTCAGATCATCTGATTTGTCTCAACTACACGGTTATTAAAAAAGTATTCATAATATCATTTTATAGAGACGAGTAGAGAAAATCCCAAAAATATCTGGAATAATGAATGTACCACCTCCTCGATTGACCTACAGACAGTATTAAAGAATGTACTGAATATTAAAGATAATAAGACAAAAAGTATAATATAAAAATATCGAATCCCTGGCAGAACAGTGAATTTCAGTTTATAAAACGCGTTATATATTCTGATTCTCGCAGCCTCGGCCGGAAATGATTCCGCACGACTTGCTTTTGCGTTCCAATTAACAGTGCTGATCCTAAGGTGGCGTATGGAATGAGTAACATCGCCGTCACAAAATTCACATGGGCTGAAGAATCTCTCGTGAGGTCGATGGCCATTTGGTATGTACAGTCGTCTTCAGAGAACATGTCGCACATGGACGGTGATAGCTCTCTCAATCACCGCTGCATACCGTGCAACCGCGACATGTTCACTGAAGACGAGAGTACATAGCTAGAACCTGATTACTTACAGGTACTCATTCACTGATAATGGCTTCATACTCATTAGCGCTCTGCTACGATATTTTGAATGAACTATTTTGCACGAAGTACAAGATTCGTACAATTATTTGAATGTAAACAAGGTTTCATCAAAGAATATGCAGTTTCATTTGTATAATACCGACTGCTTGACTGGAATCACTCATTGCTATTGGTACAAAAACGAAAACTTCAGAGAAATAATTATTATAATATACATTGTGGAATATTTACATCTTTATCCCATCGTGGAATAATCCGAGATCAATTGTTAATTTTTCATTAGTTAGTAAGATCTATAATCAGTGCTCCCCATCGTAGTTGTTCACTGATTGATATTTCATTGATGGTATTTCCATCCATTTCGAAACAATTCTTCGTTGGTTCGACAAAAATCAACTGCAGCTGTACCTAAGATTTGATTATGATGGATTTTTTATGATGTTTGTAATGCGTGCTTCTTATCATTCGTGGAATGGTCTAAGACAATACCACTCTGTTCTGAATAGCATTACATAATGATAAGGACTTTTATTGATGGATCATGCAAAGAACAGAATCACTCTAAAATTCAGAACACCGTGATATTACGTGGATATTACTCATGATAGGCCGCGGAAGGGTCTTTTAATTATTTTCTGAACGGATCTCCATGAGAATAACATTATAAACAGTGAATTTTCCAAGATTAATTACTATTTCTGAAACTGTGACTGGAGGTTCTGGCGCTGGTGGTGGAAAGTCAGTCGTTAATAAAATCCACTAGAATTAATTAAAAATCACAGTATATAATCCCTAACGAAAAAAAGGAGTTATGAACCGTGACAAAATATTTACCAATATCATCTCATCTCACTACATATCTGCGGAAAGCAGGAGTAGAATGTACATGTTTTAATGATAAGAATCAAAGGCACAACACTTGTACAATAAGGTTGTAGTTACCGAACCAGGAAGATGTTCGGGGTATACCTACATTCTGCCAATGTTCAGGGTGATAGCTTCTGTTACACTTTGTAGGTACTCATGGTTTATCATCCATCATAATACAACCTGATAAAGATCTATGAGTAATCATTAAAGTCATCGCAATGACTGTATTATTATTATTACATCACCACCTGAAAGTGATCTAACAAAATAGTATCTCATTATATTCAGAATAACAATAAAACGGTGGGAGATTTGATCAACGAATTTAATTATGTGTACCATGGAGGTTTTTGGAATATGGATATATCAAAACAGTGGAAATTCATCGTTATAAACCTTACTCACCGCAAAAATCAAGTTGAAGAAAAACACCAAGTATTTAACAACAGTGGTAGAACAGCCCATTATTCACTGATGAATTCTGGTAAAAATATATTATTGAAACGATAATCTGTTGAAATTATGAGAATGTGGGTGGTTTTCAGTTACTGTAAATAGGTAGTGTACACAAACTGTTGAATGCTATTTGCTTTTGAACAGTTCCCGGCGTTCGCGCTCACACGGTGCGCTGCAATTCAGAGCTATAGTAAATCAATCGAGACCGTCAGAATGAAACGAAATGTCGAGCTAGGCGAGGTTGCCAGCGTGATAGAAATTGAGTAGGATATTATTTATTTCATGATAACGGTTAATATTCAATTTGAATTCGATCATAAGTAACCCCCAGATAGCAGAGATCTCTAAAAGTTAAAAGTAAGTCGATTTCTTTCTGGAGTGAAATGACCTGTACCTAAATCAGGAAACCATTTTTTGAACGCAATCTTATGATCTTGATATGGCACAGGACAAAAGGACACGACAGTCCTGATGAACAAGGAAATAAACAGGGTGTCTTCAGGAAGTCAAGAAAGTGACATTCTTGGAACGTTTGGACACAATTTCGGGACGTTCATTTGATGTACACATGATATGTCACTTATCTCCAATGAAACGTGATAGCACTATTGTAGAAGTGATGCATATCTCTGACACCTATGACATGACCATTGATGTATTACTACACATACTCACGTAGTATCTACTCATATTGAGTTACAAAAGAATTCGAAATAATATATAAGAATTGCTGAATCCTATGACCATATGAAAATCAGTTAAGTTCTTCTTCCAATTTTTCTTGAATTTTTTATCCTCTAAGTATACCAGAATTTGAAGAAAAATCGAGATGGTAACGATTGTAATTTTCTTCATGACATTCAAGAAATATTTCGAATGATCCAAAATGCCATCATTCTGGTGATATTCATATAATCCTCTTATGAATATATTATGAACATATCTAATCATTATATACTGTCTGTAGGTTAATCGAGGAGGTGTTACATTGATTTCAGTTGATTATTTGTGATTTTCTCTCCTCGTTTCTACTGAATGAGAATATAAGTATCATTTCAATATATGTGTATTAGGACAAATCAGATGATTTTCCCCAAAATGAAGAACAATCATCAGACAGTATTCAATCATCAAAGAATTAATAATAATAATAATAATAATAATGGTCTTTATTCATCAATCACAAATTACAAACTACAAATTGCATCAAGATTGGGAGTGTTCGATAATGCATTGATGAAGGGCGAAGTTCAGCCTAGGCTGTTTTTCAACTTAACCGGTCGGAACCGGAACTCATAGTTTACCTTGTGTTTGTCGAGAGTATTATAGAAGTGAAACGAAGGATGAAAGAACACAAGTACAATATTGAGGGGATATATATATATCGATATATCTAGCCTAACTGAGAATAGGCAACATATGGCAGAGTGGAATTATATTTTAATCATGGGATAGGAAGATCACAACCAAAAGAGGAAAATGAGGGAATCCGCTGGCATTTTTCTGAACGGAGAAAAAAGCATTGCTTTCTGTTCAGTTGATATAGATAGAACATGGTATTCACTACTGAAAACTGGATGTGAAAATAGTAGATTCAAGATCAATTAATGAAAACATTCTGTCAGTTGTTTGTATACTAACTTCATAGCTCATTCATATGACACTTAGCATTGTCAAACTAGAACAAAATGTTCGAAGGAAGATATTTGACATTTTGATGTTGAAAACGGGGATAGATTAGTTCCCGAAACGTCCAAAACTAAGTGCTGAAAACTCGATATTGCCTCAATATCTTTATCTCTATATGTCTTTTCTTCAAACTTTTTTCCAAACAAAGTGTCACTAACAAGGTAATGGATTGTGTTCAGGCTCCCTGATTGAAATATTCCTCAAACGCACTTACATTTTGGGGCAAATCATCTGATTCATCCTATAACAAATATATTCAAATAATACTCATATTTTCATATCGTAGAAACGAGAAGAGGAAATCCCAAATAATGGAGAGGAATGAATATTTCATTGTTAATTCCTGTTTCCTCGAACAACAGGTATATGAGAGAGTGACAATAGAGAGAAAAATTGAATTTCATGAAAAAAACACTTGTTTTGGTGATCACTTCATAAATATTCCATGTTATTCATTCCTACGGCAAAAAGCGCAACAAATGTTTTACAAAATGGGTATTTCAATGGAAAATGAATCTGTTGCCGATATCACCGCTCACTGCTTGATAAAACATGTTATATTCAATAATTATATCACCAGCTACCCTGAGCCAGTTATGTGTGTTGTGTCATGACAAATAATAGTAATATAGGATATACGTAAATAGAGAGAGATTTTGAAACAAAATTTAATGTCGTCATTGTTTCATAGAACGCAAAATGTTTTCATCATTAAAATACCAAAATATGGTACTGTTTAGAATATAGTTTTATAAGAGTTGTCAACATGTTTTATTTCAAAGAGTTGTCTGGTAGCTCGCTTTTGTCGTCTTGCTACCATCAAATTTCCTATACTTATGGAAATTGTATAGTCGCTGAAATATTTTATAATGCTTTTGAGATTTTGAGATTTTGAAAATAACAGTAGTTGGAAAAAGTAATAAAATCATATTCGTTGATATAGCAGCTCCGAAATACACAGGATAAGTAATACAATGATGTTCAAATATTTATGAATAGTTGCAAAAATATTATGGATCAAAAAACTATAAAACCATCTTCATCCTCGATTCCTTTCTAATATGGTAATATGTTCATAAAATGACTATAAATGTGAAATTGGCACCATTTCACTTTCCATTGATATTACAAAAAGCCTTTCGCGATCATCAATAAACCATTTCAATAACATTTTTGCTATTCCAAGAGAATTTCTGCACTGACATCATGACATAGTTCATCAGGAGCTTATCATACTCTAATGAAATAAAGAATAAATGTTCTTCAGGATATTCGGGAGAGAAAAAACTGAATTCAAGTGATGAGAAACAGTCACAGAGGAGAAAAATATATGAATATCTCAACTCACATATATATTTAACAAGGAAGCTATTTCAGTAGGTTCACTCAGAACATGGATATTTATATCCATTGTTCATGATATACTGACTGAAATTCTTGATGCGAATGTAATTTCATTGTGGAATACATAATATAATAATGAGAAAAATTCATACGCCCGCCATTTATGTATGTTTTTCAGAGAAAAAAGAGCACTCAATAACAAAATGAGCACGACCGACTCGATGATTTTTTGAATTATGATATACTCCAATTCCTTCTAAACATCATTGCATTACCAATTCTGTGTTTTTCAGAACTGCTATATTATTATCATCACAAATATGATTGCATCACTATTTTCAACTACTGTTATTTTCAATATCTCAAAAGTTGCTATTTTCTGATGGCTTCGTCTCATGAATCGAATAAACGTTTTTGACAGCATTATGGAATATTTCAGCGACTATACAATTTACATAAAATATAGGAAATTTGCTGGGAGCATTACCACAGGACCTACCAGACAACTCTTTGGGATAAAACTTTTTGACAACTCTTATAAAATTATATTCTCCATAATACCATGATTTAGTATTTTCATGATGGAAACATCATTATATGGTGGCCAACGTTTGCGTACTATGGAAAAATGACGACACCAAAACATTGGTGATAAATGAATAATAAAGAATTTTCGTTTGAAAATCTCTTTTCATTCACGTATATCCGATATTATTATCATTTGTCATCACAGAACACACATAACTGGCTCAGAGTAGCGGGTGATACAATTATCGAATATAATATGTTTTATCAAGCAGAGTGCAGTGAGATCGGCAACAGATTCATTCTTCATTAAAAAGCTTATTCTATGAGACATTTGTTGCACTTTTTGCCGTAGGAATGAATAATATAAAATACTCATGAATGGGTCACCAGAAGAACTTTTCTCGCATAAAATTCAATTTTTTTCCGCCTTCTCTCTCAAGTACCCGTTGTTCGAGGAAACAGAAAGTCACAATAAAATATTCATTCCACTTGATTATTTCGGATCTCCTCTCCTCGTTACTACAAAATAAAAATATGAGTATTATTCCAATATATGTCTAATAGTACAAATCAGATGATTTGAACCTAGATGTCACTTCGCTCAACAAATGTTTCGATCAGCAAGCCTAAAAAAGAATACAATAGCTTGCCAGTTACACTTTGTATGTTAATAAGTTTGGAGAGACGAAAAATAGATATATAAAAAAAATATCTGATTTATACTCAGTGTTGGAGGTTTCGAGAACGAATCTGCTTCCGTATTCAACATAAAAATGTTGCATATTTCTTTTCGGAAATTCTGTTCTAGTTTGACACTTCTTAATATCATACTGATGTTGGCATATGGATGAGTGATGATGTTAGTATACAAACGAGTAACAGGATGTTTTCAATAATTGATCTTGAATCTACTATGTCCATGTTCAGTTTTCAGTAGTGAATACCATGTTCTATCTATATCAACTGAACAGGAAACAATGCTATACGTCGGCCTTTTCCTGCTACTGAGGCTAATCACCGACGCCGGTGAGCACACTACCCCCCAACCGGAAATTTTGCCGAATCCTCTGGTGTTCCAACCAGAGGTAGAGATCTTCAACGAGTCCAACATCCATGGCCTCGTCACCGCCGGCTTAACGTCTCCTACGAAGGACTGCATATCTGTACCATATCTTGTGCACATTGGTATGGTAGCTGTAGCTATGATATGCTGTTCCGCAACAGATGTACGGGCTGGTTACCTATCCAAGTACTTACCGCGCTCGACACTGCTTCACTTCAGATATTGAACGGCTAGTGCCTTAACTGAGAAGCTTTTCAGTGAGCTTTGGTTTATTTATATGTCTTCTCTTGATATTGTAAGAAACGAAACGGAGTTCGTTAGTATGAGTTGACAAAGATATCATCACACTCGTTTTACCGCAGTTTGAAGGGCTGATAATGAGGCCACGAAGAGTGGAAAGCAATAAATGTCCATGTCGCGATTTGCTTCCTCCATCGCTTCCATACCCAATCTTATATGATCCAAATTTTTTACGCCGAAGTCCTCTTTTTGTTTTATAATGTGCATAGTATGACGGTTGAGTGTTAAATTAAGACAAACACACTGAAATCATCTCATTTTTATGATGAAATTCAAGAGATATTGACACAGAGAATCATTGGAAATCAAGAAATCTGATAAAGACTTCATAAATTCCCTAATG